ACCCCAGCGACTTAAGACTGGTTTTGTGATCCAGGGTCAAATATGATGCAGGCTTAACATGCAAAAAACAGAAAATTACAGCTACATATACACAAAAGCACCATCAAATAGGCTTACGTATATTTGGATATGCACAACAGACACGCAGCTTTAGCACATACTCGTAAGCAACATGAAGCTTTTCTCACGATTATGATTCATTATTTTATGTCTTACGCTTTCCTGACATTTTGTACATGATGTTCCATTATTGCAGGGCCGTGTGGGGCAAGCCGGCAGGCAGATGAGAGTGAGCGATTGCAGCAGGCAGGGAAACGCAGCCTAGAGATTTCGTGTGACGTGACGGCTTATGCCTTTCAGTGGCAGTTCAGCCCTAGTTATCAAGCCCATCTCAGGGACTAAAATGGATCTCTGGAGGTGGGGGCCGACAGGCAGCTCGCTCTGCCCCAGGGAGAGGGCCTGACAGCGCGGTCAGCCTGTCACCAGCAGCCCCTCTCTCGGGAACAGGGCCGTGGGGAGCTTAGAAGCACTCAGACATGTAAAACCATGTTTTGAGTCAAATAGATTTGCTCTTTTAGGCATCGGTTGAAAGTGTAGGGCTGCTACATTTGTACTGAGCTGCTTGTATTCCGTAAATGGAACATTTACTTCTCATGCATAGTGATAAGTGTTAATCTGCGCACAAGTTTATCATACAGGATGTTACATTTCGTACCTTTTATGCAAGTTAGATGGCATTTTTAGGACAATTTTAGGACAATCCATGGAAGAAGCTTTAATTTTTAGGCTGATATAATAAATATCATAGCTTGTGCTCACAAAAAAAGTACTATTGTGTCACAGTGATTACATGGGACATGGGAGTAGGTGGTCGCTAAAGTGTTTTTTTTTTTTTTCTCTCTGATTGGTGGAGATTTCTCTGCAGAATCATGAGCAATGTAGTTTTTCATCTGGCATTTCGCTGTTAAATACTATCAATTAAAAAAAAAATAAGTTGAAATAATGCTGACTGAGGCTTCAGCAAAAATATAGCATTGCTTAAAAGCCTCATAACACAGTAGGTCTCTCTTTAATGGCTTTTAATTATCGCTTAAAATCAATTCCACTATGGAGAAAATTAATGCCATTTTTACGTGGTGGTAATGGTAGCATTTCCCAGTGGACAAATCAGACAAAATCTGATCCACTGAATTTCACTGAACTCACCAGTGCTGTTTTAGTTTACTATACAACTAGTCTACATCCTCACCTTGATCTAGATGGTCCATTTTTAACCAGGGTTGTGATGTTGGAAAAGGGAAAAAGTAAAACTTGTTGCACCTCTGCTTCTTCATCACTGACAAAGAAAACAAAGTGCATAGGAAAAGAAATGAGCCGGTTAAAACAGATGAATGTGAATCTCACTTCACATCGTGAGTGCGATGTACCAGGTGAGCTACTGAGCAAGTTTACTACACCAGAAATGACGTATGTAGAGATGGTTATGTGATGCAACAGTTACAATGTATTAGTTTACAAATCATGCACTATGATAAAAGTGTTTTGAGGTCATGACATAATATTTTGGAAGGAACTGCATGAAAATAAATATTTTTTTATCGATAATCTGCCCCATAATCATCATTTGTGTGAAAAGGAATAACAGTTGCTAGTGTTTTATTGCCACTAGTCTTTATTTTAGCTGGAAAATGAAGTGAATAGTATGTATAGGTACGTTTTGTTCTAGAGTTTTACAAAAATGAATGTAGAGGCACGTATTTCCAGTAAGCCTATTTTGTTTTTATTACTGATTGTAAATAGAAAAAAAAATATTTCTATTAATTTATGCTACACACTTTAAGGTATACCTGTCACGTTGCACACACACAAGGGACGAGGAGATGCTGGAGAATATGTTGACAGGACTTTATTTGCACCAAGGAACCAAGGGAGACGCACAGGAGGAGGGGATGACGAGACACACCTGGGATCCATGAACCATCATGGGGAACACCTGGGACAAATTAAACATGGGAAAGGAACACCTGGGGAGCAAGACACAGACAAAACATGGAACAGAGGCTGACAATACCATTGTCCAAACATGGCATTACAATGATACCATATTCAAAACACTGTGGTATGTAGAATAGTGAATGAGCAAAGATAGCAAAATTGAAGAAGAATATAACAATTTCCACTTAGGCATTAAGTTAGCAAGTAAAAATGGTGTTGGAATATTAATATTTTGTCAGTAAAACGTGTATTTGTTTGCAGAATAACTTTCAATTTTCAGCCATCAATTCAATGTAATTCTACCCTAAACTCCAGCAGTTATGTGCCTAAAACATGGCATAGGGATTTTAAGCAGAGGT